TCCCTGTGCACAGCCTGGAGATGTGAGGCTGCAAGGCTCCCGAGGGCTCGGCTTGGACCGCGATGGGGCTGGGCTGCTGCCTCCTAACAGGGCTCTTGTCTGGGGCAGTGGTTGGGGGTTGCCCCTCCCCGCCCATATCTCGGAGCGCCCCACCCCTCCCCTGCTAAGCGAGGCCTGCCCTGGGGCCTGGTGCCCACCATGAACGGCCTGTCCGTGACTGAGCTGTGCTGCCTCTTCTGCTGCCCACCCTGCCCTGGTCGCATTGCCGCCAAGCTCGCCTTCCTGCCTCCAGACCCCACCTACTCACTGGTGCCTGAGCCTGAACCCAGGCCAGGTGGGGTCGGGACCACCCCCTTGGGGACCCTGCGGACCTCCACAGGCACCCCTGGGCGCTGGAAGCTCCACCTGATGGAGCGCTCTGATTTCCAGTACAGCCAGCGCGAGCTGGACACTGTTGAGGTCTTCCTGACCAAGAGCAGCAGGGGCAACCGCATTGCCTGCATGTATGTGCGCTGCGTGCCCGGAGCCAGGTTAGCTTCAAAGACTCAACTTGGACAGACCCGGAGCCTGGAAGAATGGACGGGGACAGGATCTGGGGAGTATCTTGTGCTCATTCTCAGGGTCCCTGGAGAGCTACAGCTGGGCGAAAGCCCAGCGGGTGCCTAGGGATTCTTCTTGCCAAGGGCTGGCCGACCAGAGCCTCCAAGGATGGGCTTCACTTTGCTGATGGCCTCTGCCCAGCTACCCTGGGCCTTTAGTGCCTGGTGTCCTACCATGTGTAGTTCTGAGGGTGCCTCAGCAACCCATCTTGCAGATGAGGACCCTGAGGTTCAGGGAAGTGGCTTCAAGTGGCTTTGTCACAGCACCTGCTTGACAAGGAACAGAGTCTCTTAGGGGCTTGGTGCCCAGTGAAGTCTTGGTACCTGAGGCCAGCTGGTGGCTCATGCTCAGTCTGGCTCCCCATTAACAGAACACCTTAGGACCTGCAAGCAGAGCTTTTCCCTGAGCCTAAGGGATGGGGCAGAAGCCAACCTTCCAGGTGCTTCTGCCTCAGACCAGGCAGGTTTTGATTCCAGGTCTAAGTCCAAAGGACGAGCTCTTTTCCTTTGGGCTAGTCTGGTGTGGTGGGAGTGGGGAGCTAAAACCCAGTGGCGCTGGAGGAAGGGAACTCCAGGAGTCCATCGGCTGGAGACACTGGGTTGCCTGCTGTTGGCAGGACCTGGGCAGGCTCTGCTAGCAGCAGCTTGGTAGGGCTGCCATGGGGGACAAGAGCCGAAATGAGTGCCAAGGTCATTTTCTGCAGGAGAGGGAAACCCACAGCACTGTGCACAGGGGTTGGCTTTATTTGCTTGTGAAGCAGGAGTGGGGGCCAGCTATCTGGAGGAGAGGGGATAGCCCTGCCGATGGAGAATCTATCTCATTCTCCAGGAATGCCTTGAGCAGCGGTCCCATGTGCCTGACATGCTCTGGGGCTGTTGGAGTCTCTCCAAAACAAACAGACTCAAGGAGAGGCAGCTGGGCTCCCCCTGTGCTCAGAATGTAACCAATGGTCTCAGTGCCCATTTCACAGAGGGAGCCTGAGGCTTCACTGGCTGTCCCCTGCCTGAGATCACATAGGCCGGAGGAGCTGGGCTACTTTGTGGCACAGGCAGCCTATCTCCCTTGTCCGTGCTCCTGTCTCTTCCTGGGTTGGGGTGTGATAGCCCCTCCCCTGTTGCCCTCTGACCCGTGTCCCCCACCCCCTTAGGTACACAGTCCTCTTCTCACATGGCAACGCGGTGGACCTGGGCCAGATGAGCAGTTTCTACATTGGCCTGGGCACACGCATCAACTGTAACATCTTCTCCTATGACTACTCCGGCTATGGCGTCAGCTCGGGTAGGCCCTCAGAGAAGAACCTCTACGCCGACATTGATGCTGCGTGGCAGGCCCTGCGCACCCGGTGAGCTGTGTGCTGGGGACTTGGTCCACTTGGATTGTCCCCTGAAGGGGACTAGACCCTGTGAAACAGGGAGGGTTGGAAGGTACCTACCAGGGACTTGGGCCAGCCTCCCTGGAGAGGGAGGAGCCTGGGCCAAGTCCCAGTGGGTACCCCTACTGGAGAGGGAACCCTCAGCAGCCTCAGTGGTCCAGAAGGTGAGGCCTGACCCATGTCCCCTCAGCATGCTAACAGACATACTTGGTGTGCGGGCAGTCCTCAGATCTTCCTGGGCAGGGGCAGGGATGGGCTGGGGCTGTCCCTAGGGGAGTGGAGGTCCCCCCAGGAGGGAGTAGTAGGCAGGGGACTTGGGCCCAGGAAGCAGAATGCGAGGGCTGCGTGAATAAACTGGGATTCCTGAGGTTGAGGGAGCACGTGGGGTACAGGGCCAGCCAGTGCTACACCTCATTGGGATTCTAGGGATGGACCTATAAGGCACTCGTGGCCTCATCCTGGGGGCAGTGTTGGGGGGGCTGCTCTAGGCCTGGAGGGTTCTTTTGGGCCCCTTGGTGCCCAGCACAGCTCTGGTGGCCAGTGGGAGGTCAGTGAGAAGAAGACATACCCACATGCTTGACTCAGGACCTTCACCAATCTGGTCGTCTAGATACTGGGCAGACCTCTCCCTCCCTAGTACTCACTGAAGCACATTCACGCAGTTTCTGAGCCAGCATTTGCAGCATGCCGCCCTTTGCGCAGCACTGCTCCAGAAGGAGGCCAACCCTGGCCCTCTTAGAGGTGGTGCCCAGCCCACTGCTGGGAGATGCCCCACCTCAGCCCTGCTGGATTACCTGCCAGACCCTCTCCTGCAGGGCACAGTCTGCCTTGGGGAGATGGGGCCCATGATGTACCAGGCAGCCCCTGGGAGCAGAGCACCCTCGAACCAGGGACTTGTCTTGAATGGTATGGTATATGTACATACCTGCCCTTGCCTGCCTCAGCCCTTCTTGCTGTCCCTGCTCATGCTGAAGCTTGCTGGCAAAATCACCCTGCTGTGGGGTGAGGCCTCTGAGCTCTGTCCATTGTCCATCAGGCCTCTCACCAGCATTGACTTCCAGAGTCCTGGTCCCTCAGCTCCAACAGCTTCGAGTCAGCGAGAGGCTCGGGCCTAAGCACTGCCTGTGGGGCTGAGGAGGCCTGGGGGAGAAGTGCTGCTCTGTCTGGCACTTGTCAGGTTAATCCAGGCATAGATATCCAGGGGCTGCTGGGGATCCCTACTTGGAGCTGGGTGATAGAGTTGGGCTAGTGAGGTCAGGTGATAGGCACATGGCCAGGTCGCATCCCTGAGGCCTGGTGTAGGCAGGGGTTAACACGGGGACCAGTGGGAATACCTCTGTAGACAGGGAGGTGGAGTCTGGTTTCCCAGGTTTGTTCCCCAGGTGACATACAGAACTGTCCTGGCCCCTATCTACCAGGAAGGGGTGTGCCTTTGGGATTGAGGTCAGATGTGTTGGAGGAGAGCCTTGGAGGGCATCTGCATGGGGAGGGTGGCAAGTGGGTCCCCATGCAGTCAGGAACAGGCATTAAGTGGCCTGGAGCTGGGTCACCTGGGCTGTAGGGGGACCCTATAGGCGTGTGGGGAGGTGGCAGGGTAAGGGGAAGGGCTGGGGCTTAGGAGAGAAGCCCAGGACTTGGCCACTATGTAGAAAAAGTGCCAGGAGGAGTTAGCACCCACAGCAGTGAGCAGTCTACTCACCATGGTATACTAAGCACCTAATTGGGCATGGGAGACATCAAGGGGTGAGATGTGGGAACAGCTGCCTCAATTCCCTACAGTTAAAGGGGTGAGGGGTACGAAGAAAGACAGTGACCACCCCTCGCCTTAAAAATCAACAGCAGGGATAGGAAAAACCCAAAGCAGAATCGGTGCGGTCCTGGTTAAGTGTGTAGGGTTGGGGGTTGACAGGGTGACCAGGAGGGGCAGAAGCCCCAGGGCTACACTGCCCCCAGTAGTCTTTGCCGGAGGACCCTCACCAGGTGCACTCCCCTTGCATGATCTGTTGGAGAAATTCAGCCAGTTGACCTGGGGCTGCAGTGCGGTGGGGGAAGGTTGAGGGGGAGCAGCGCTTTTCACACCTGCCCAGGGACCAGCCTAATTTCCTAGAGGCTGCCCGAATAGAATGGGGAATTTAACTGCTTGGGGAGGCATGTGTTGCGGTTGCCGCTGACCCTGCCCTGCCGCCAGGTACGGCATCAGTCCGGACAGCATCGTCCTGTACGGGCAGAGCATCGGCACAGTGCCCACTGTGGACCTCGCCTCGCGCTACGAGTGTGCTGCGGTGGTGCTGCACTCCCCGCTCACCTCTGGCATGCGCGTTGCCTTCCCAGACACCAGGAAGACCTACTGCTTCGATGCGTTCCCCAAGTGAGCGCTGGGAGGCCCTGGGGGTGGGGTGGGGGCGGGGCCTCGTCCGGGTGGGGTGTGGAGGCCTGACGCCCCCCACCCTGCAGTATCGAGAAGGTGTCCAAGATCACATCACCGGTGCTTATCATCCACGGCACGGAAGACGAAGTGATCGACTTCTCGCACGGGCTGGCACTCTATGAGCGCTGCCCCAAGGCTGTGGAGCCGCTGTGGGTGGAGGGCGCCGGGCACAACGACATTGAGCTTTACAGCCAGTACCTGGAGCGCCTGCGTCGGTTCATCTCCCAGGAGCTGCCCAACCAGCGCGCCTAGTGGAGCTGCTGCGCCCCCGAGCCAAGCCCGGACAGACCTCAGCAATAAGCGCCAGCCCTGGCCTCGGAGGGGGGCTGCATGTGAATCCCCGGGTGCCCCAGGCCGCCGAGGCAGCCGGTGGGCAATCTGGTGGGAACTGCCCCGGCCCAGGGGCTGTGGACAATGTACAAGCGACAAAGCAACGCCCTCCTTTCCTTCCGGAAGCAAAACAAATTAAAAGGTTAAAATTGTAGGGCTCTTACTGCTTTCATGGCTCTTGTGTGCTCTCCCTAGAACTCTTATGTTCTCAGAGGGTGCTGGGTTTGCTTCCTAATCCTCGGGAAAGTTTAGCACAAATGCAGATACCACTGTCACTCTCGTTCGTGGAAGAGGGGATAAGGTCCCAACCAGAGCACCTTGTGGCTATTGGTTGCCTGGGTGTGGTGGTGGCGGTATTGGCAGCATTCGAACCCAGGACCTTCCCTGCCCAGATTTGGTGCGCCTTCTGGGAGAATGTCTCTTAAAGACAACCCTGGGGGGCAAGTGGCCGCAGTGGGTCTGTGCTTGTCCTGCTTTGAGGCACTCTTCAACTCCCGTGATGGATAAGGACGTGGCGCAATCGCTCTCATAGTAGATAAGGACGCTTGAAATCACAAGGCTGCTCTTCCTGTTCCTCCTGTCCTGGAAGATGAACTGCACAGAGGGCTAACAGCTTTCCAGGGTCTTGAGGGGCCGGGCTAGGTCACTTCCTTTGCCAATGTGAAGGCTGAAGCCCTGGTGTAGGGCAGTGGGAGGTCTGAGGGCCTTACGGGGTCTCTCCCAGGAAAAGGGGCCACCTGGGGCTGGGTTTCTGCAACAAGCCTCAGGGCCTTTGACCTCCGTTCGCTTGAGTTACCCTTGAAGTCCGGGTTCTCTCTGGACCTCAGCTGCAGTCCACGCTCACCTCCAGACCCAGAATGTCTCCTGCGAACTCCTGGGGCAAATAACGTGTCGTCTATCCCTTGGTTGGGCGGCGGCTTAGTTTGTGTTGGGACCAGGCTGTGGTGGGGTAAGTACTTGGTGGAGCAACTTGATTCCACCAGGCTTTACCTAGCCGAAGACCCCTGGCATTGTGTGACCCCTTTAAGGAGGGCGGGAGGGGGGCGGTGCTTCGGCCCTGGGTGGAGACGACCTCGGGAACTTGCGTCAAATGTGAGGTCGGGCGGAAGTGGCATGGCGCTTGCCCGGAAGCGGCCGACGGTGGAGCTGGCTAGGAGGCTCCTGCCTCGCTGGTAAGTGGCTGGGGGCTCGTATCCCGCCCTGCCGGCCCCTGACCTTTCCGCTGCTCCCAACTGTTCCTTCCCGTCCCCGCGCGCCTCGACCTCCCTAAGTCAGAACGGGGTGCCCTGGGGTTAGGTCGCACGCAGTTCCCTCTTGCAGCGGTGCCTCCTCGGATTTCAGTGTTGACACACAGCGGGATCAGGTAGCGGTGGCTCACTCCCCATCTGTCTGGCCAGGTTTGGCCTTCTGGTACTTTGCTTCGCAGAGGTTTTTTTTTGTTTTGTTTTGTTTTGTTTTTTTTGCTTCTAACTGGGAACGAGAGACTTGAGTACTCAGAGAGCTTAGAATGTCCATCAGGCGCGTAAAAGGTACTACAGTTGCCACTGTCAGACCGGAGGTGACTCACCCGGGTCACAGGAGAGATTCCTTTCCTACCGACCCCTCTCACTGCCCTGCATCCAGGTTTGTACAAATATCCTGGCCTCTCTGGGCAACCCAGTCTTTGAGCCTATGGAATCCCCTACTACCCGTCTCTATCACTGGGAAGTGCCCTGGCCTGGGAGCGGGCAGAGAAGCTGCTAGTGCCTTCATCCCTTCCGATCCACATGGGCCCCTCTGGCCGGGAGTCAAGTCATTTTTTATAATACGGGACGTTTAGAAGCCAAACTGAATGTGAGATGTGTACTCATTAGAGCCGAGAACATTTGCGGCCCTAGCTCCGGGTTGCCCTTCTCACCCTAGAACATTTGCACAGAATGGGCTTTGAGTCTCACATAACCCTCACTAAGCTTGGTCTTTGTCTTCTACCAGCATAGCTAACTTTTCTTAACAAGTCTGACTTCTTCAATCTCTTGCTTCAGTTGCTTTCTTCCCCAAAGCAACCCGCCTCCTGACCTGACCCCCTCAGCCTTATGCTCCCACTGACTGCTGGTGCTACACTTGTCACAGAGCATGTTGTCTTTTTATCCCATCAGAATGTAGGTTTACTGAGTCAGGACTCTGCAAAACAGCAAGTTCAAAGCAACTGCTTACAACTGAACAAAAATGGTTTCAGATACACAGAGTAAACAATTCAGAACATGAAAGGGTGGCAGGTGAAAACTTGGTGTCCTTCCCACCCCTCCCCTCCACGGTCTCTTTCCCTCTCTCCTACGGCAGAGATAAACCAGTTTCTCATGTATCAACAGAGAAAATCTATGCATGTATATCTAATGTGTTTGTAGAAAATGTCACTCACTGTTCACATGATCCCACTTAGAGTTTTCTATGGAAGCATTTGTTTTTGTGGTTGTGCCATATTTTATTAGTACTATGTATTTATCCTGTTTCCTGTTGGTTGAAAGTTAGGTTCTTTCCAGTATTGTTAACAAACAATGCTAGGTTGACAATACTTGCAGCCAAGTAGGAATATTTTTGTGGGCTGGAATTCCTTGGTGCAGAGGTGCTGGGTGAAAAAGGCTTTTCATGTATCTCTAACTGGGTACATAATCTTGGCCTGTCCTACCAAATTGTCCCCTTCCCAATGAAGGAAGGGTCTGATGTCCTCAATTGCTTGATCTTGCTGAGCTGGTAGTCATAAAATAGTGTTTCATTGTACCTTTACTCGTGTTTCCTAGAAGTGCAGTAGATCTCAATGCTACTGTGAGATTTACTTTTTTTTAAGGATTTCATTTTTTAAGAGATTTTTATTTATTTTTAGACAGAGGGGAAGGGAGGAAGAGAGGGAGAGAAGTATGAATGTGTGGTTGCCTCTTGCGTGCCCCAAACTGGGGACCTGGCCTGCAACCCAGGCACGTGCCCTGACTGGGAATGGAACTGGTGACCCTTTCATTCACAGTCTGCTGGTTCCGTTGAGTCACACCAGCCTGGGAAGATTTATTTTTTATGTTCATCATTTCTGCCATTTTGAAACTGGAAAGATCTATATTATAAACACGTCTATATATAAAATGTGTTTGTATTTCATATTCTTTGCCTATTTTTTTCTGTTGGGTTGTTGGTGTTATTCTTTTCTGGGAAGATTTTAATATTAAGGCAGTTCCCATTTTCTGTTAAAAGTGTTTTCTCCCAGTCTGTCATTTGTCTTTGACTTGAATTGTGTTTTTGTCTTTAAAATTTATTAATTTTTGCCAGGCATTTAAAGTTGTTATTAGTTATTAGTGTTTTTTTTTCATTTGTGGCTTCTGCATTTCGTGTCATACTGAGAAATGTTTTCTCTACTCCAAGATTATGTAACATTTGATATTTTCTTCTGGGAATATAACAGTATCTTTTAAAAAATATCTATATATTTAAATTTTGGTCTAATTTTAGGAAGTACTCCTCAGAAGGAGTGAGGTAGGAACCCAAACTGCTTTTTTTCCAAATCGTTTGCCCTCGTGTTCCGAAAAAGCCGTCTTTCCCCACTGAAGTGCCGTCTTTGCGGCCTGCTGAGCCCAGCCCGCCTGCGGGCTGCCCCAGGCTGTCATCCCCGTCAGTCTGAGCTGCACTGACTTCACCACCAAATCTGGAGGCCTGTCTCCTTTCCTCACTCCTTCAGGTTCTTTTTCCTTCTCCACCTCAGCCAGGCATATTTACTTCCCCCACCCTGACTATGTAGAAAACGGGATTGCTTAAATGTATACATTAAGCTGAGAGAAAACTGTCGATTATAATAGTTGACACCTTGCACAACGCCCATGCAATGCTACTTCCACAAGACACGCTCTGTGACAGAAAGGATTCTGACAATTGAAGTATGAGCAGCCCTCCTCCCCTAATATTCAGTGTGATATTAACCTTGGCGAGCCCTGGCTGGTGTGGCTCAGCAGATTGAGCGCTGGCCTGCAAACCAAAGGGTCCCTGGTTCAATTCCCATTCAGGGCACATGCCTGGGTTGCAGGCCAGGTCCCCAGTTGGGAGCACACGAGAGGCAACCACACATTGATATTTCTCTCCTCTAAAAACAAACAAGCAAACAAATAAGATACTCACCTTGGTAAGGCATTTTGCTGAGACTGCTTTGTCCACACAGGGTCCTGAGCCTTTCTCTGGACTCTGGGTTACTATGCAGTACAGTGATGAGGGAAGCCAGTGGTATATCCCAGAATGCACCCCCTTTCCCTTTCATTTGGTATGGCCCATGGGCCAGGATGCCTGGGAGAAGGGCCAGCTTTCAGTTCTCCATTTGGTAAGTTTTCCTAGACACATGTGTTCATACCCATCAGCAGTGTTCTCCTGGGGCCTAGCAGATCCCTGAGCATGAACTCCCTCCCCAGGAGGCTGGCCCATGGCTCCCTGAAACCTTTGGTGCTGGTCTGGCACACCTCAGACATGGGTCTTGCAGGGCCCAGGTCTGAGATGAGGCCTCCAGGGGTGCCACCTCTCAGGGCCCCAAAGCACCTGGTCTAAAGTATGAGCTCCCACCCCCAGGGCAGTACTTACCTGTCTGGCTCTCAGTCAGGGTGCAGGACCAACTTAGCTGTGGGATTCATCCGACGGGGTTGCTGGCCCAGCATCAGGGACCACCTTCCTTTTATTTCACAGCTCCTGCCATATATCAAATTGATTTTCATGAAAACCCTGGGCTGCTGGGCTCACCATCCCCTGTCCCCACTTATAGGGCAGAGATCTTAGGCAAAGCTGCCCCAAGAGAAAAGCTCTGGGACTCTGCCCGGGCCCTGGTCTTGGGCTCCTATGGTGCTCAGTTTTGGGCTGCAGGTGTGCCTCTGCTAGACAGCAAGCTCTGAGCTTCCACATCCCAGTGCCTGGCACTGGTGAGGCACAGACCATAGCCATGTATGTGTCCATAGCACACACAGATGGCATTGAGGGGGCTCGGCCAGGCTCAGGCTGTTCTGTGAAGCCCATTGTGCCTAGCAGAGCTCCCCCTAACCCATGCTGGAGGAGGGCACCCTGAGAAGGGCTTTTCTCCTTCAGCAACTCAGGTGGGGCCATAGGAGCATGGGCCTGCGAGAGGTGGCTCAGGGGCCAGGCATATGGGTGTCCTTGAGAGTGAGACAGATATAACCCCTTGTGCCTCTGTGAGCCTCTACTTTCAGGGGCCTTGGGCCAGCCAAGAAGTGAGGATGAGCAGGAGCTCTGGCAAGGGAATCCTCACGTGAAAGCAAACAAGTGAACACCAGGTTAGAGCCAGATCCTGCCCTTTCCACTTCCTGGAAAAGGGATGGGGGCCTTGGGTCTGTTCCCAGCAGCTCTGAACAGGGGGCTAGTGCATCCTGTGTGGTGTGCCAGCAGTAGAATAGTCACATGCCCACCTTCTGGCCATGTCCTGGCCCTGCCCATTGTCCCACCCCAAGCTCTTGGCTGCTCCTGTAAGGGACCCCGGACCATGGTAAGTATAAGTAGTCTCACACATGTTGGAAATAAACACAGATGCCTTAAGAGAGTGCAAAGTGTGCATTAATCTTAAAAATTAATCTATCACCAAAGGCTGCCTTAGTGCATGCAGCAACACTGACTTGACAAGGGGTGGCGGGAGCAGGACCAACACCAAGTGGTCAGGGTCAAATCTGGTACTGCAGAGGGCAGAATAGGACATGTGCTCTCTCTGGCGTGCCCCTCTGCGGAGCTGGTCCACCACCTCCTAAACCTCCATGCCCCCTCTTGCTCCTCCACGTCCCTGTCAGGTCCCTTCCGGCCCCTCCAGACATAACCACTGTGGACAAGTTGCAGATGAGGTGAAACCAGAATCACAGTATAAACAGGCCTCCCCAGGGGCTGGAGCTGGCTTCTCCCTCCTAAGCCTGTGTCCTGGGTTCTCCCAAGGCCCGTTCTCCATAACTTAGTAACCATGTTAAGGTTACTTTCTTTTTTCTAATTGCAAGTAGAGCAACTATACATACTTGCTTCTTCGTGAATATTTTTGGGGTACCTTTTTTGGAGTGGAATGGCTGGGTCAATGAGCACATTTACAGTTTTGGTAAGCTACGTACAGACCAGTGAGATTGGGTGCAGTGTCTCTGATGTAAGCTGTTAACTGTCCACATGGTAATTATTAAATGACTCCCACGGTCACTCTCCATGTTTTAGTTTTCATTTTGGAGTCATTTGGGGTTTATAGAAAAGTTGCAAAGACAGTATAGGGAGTTCCCATCTACCCTTCACCCAGCACCCCTCATGTTATTGTGTTAAAAGCCAGGAAATTGACTTGTGTGCATTCCAACCAACCACATGCCAGACTGCATGCATGTCATCAGGTTTTCCACTGACAGCCTTATCTGTTCAGGATCCAGCCCAGGCCCCAACATGGCACTTGGTCATCATATCTCCTTAGTCTCTTATAATCTAGGGCACTTCAAGTCTTTCCTCATTTTTCATGACCTTGACAGTTTAGGGGGCATTTTGAAACATGTTCCCTAATCGGACCTGTTTTCTCATGAATGGACTGAAGTTGTGGGTTTTGGGGAAGAGCACACCAGTGTGAGGTGCCCTTTTGGCCATATCCCATCAGGAGTCCCTGACACACACAGAACATCCTGAGGTTGACCATGACCACCTGGCTGAGGTGGGGTCCAGCAGGGTATCCCCACAGCAGACTGTTGTCCTCCCCCTTTCTTGCCCTGTTCTTTGGAAGTGAGCCCTTGAATTCAGCCCACACTAAAGGGGGAATTTATTTAGAAAATCATTTTTCTTATAGAAAGGTATAAAAAACAAAAGGCACATGGCCCATAATTGCACTGCCTAGATAGATACCCGTTGACATTTAAAGAAAACAAAAATACAAGATACATGGGTAAAAAAAAAGTTGAATGGTACAGAGAGCACTATTAAAGCAAAAAAAGGTTTCATTTTCTTAAAAGATGATACAGCCATTACAGCACGTCTCTGTATATGCGTGCACGCACCCTGGAGCCTTGATTCTGACCTGACCTACCTGTATACCTTCTTCATGGGCATCATGGTGCACCCCATTTTATGTACCCTTTCCTTCACCTGCACGCTTTTCCACCTCCTCATCTGCCCACATCTGCCCTGGCCTTCTGATTCCCTTGGTGCTGTCAGTGAAGGGCAAACATGATCCCCTGTTTACAGGTGAGGAAACTGAGGTCTGGAGGATGGAGGGACTGATGCTAGGTGGGTGCCCAGCTCAAAATAAGCTCAGGCCATTTTCCTTTGTATTTTCTGCAAACCCTCACTGCTGCCTGGCTCTGTGCTCAGGTAGACTGTTGCTCAGCCCTGCTGCAGCCATGGTTTCTACATCTGTGAAATGGGGGTGAGAACTGAAGGGTTGTAGTGATGACAGAGTGAACAGGCACAAGGCTGAGCTGCGTCAGAGGTGGGCTTGTGGGTGGCAGGGATTTCAGGGTTATACATGTGCTGGTTGCCCAGGTGGCCCTAGAACCTGGGCATGAAGAGAAAACTGCAGGTGGAGCAGGTACCTCTATATGGGAGCTCCTGCCTGCAGAACAGTTGGTGTGGCCTATAGATGTAGGCCACTGGTCTGAGACTCTGAGTATCCCTGAGAGTGGTTCACATCTGAGGCCCCCAAAGAATGACTTATCCTGAGCTATTTTGCCTCCTGGGCACAGCCAGGATGGCAGGCCTGAACCTTGACTTGCCATGACTTACCCACTTCTGCCTGAGGCAAGAGGGCATCTCTTCAGCCACCACCCTGTACCCTTGCTGTATCAGCTGAGGGTTCTCACATTTGAGGCCCCAGATGGAGCTGCCTCTGGACGGCTTCTCCCATTTCCTTGGCCTGACAGGCCTGTGCCTGCTCACCCATTTCATTGTCAGACTTCCAGCTGCCTTGCCCTAGACTAATCCCCTATAGTTCAGCCCTTGGGGGGTTCACTCTGGTCTAATAAACATAAGTGGAAGGGAAAAAGGTCCCAGCCTCTTTCTCATTCTGCTGTTTTGCCTGCATGCCTGGTGGGGAGAACCCCAAAGGTGATGTCTGCCTCTTCTGGACTTGAAAAGGCTGGGTCGTAAGGATTGAGCAGCACCTGTGGATGGGGCAACAGCCTAAGGGCTGTTGAGGTTATGTTGGGAGCATGCCAAGGTGATCCACCTCCTACAGCTTCAAAGGAAAAGGGGGCCCAAATTGGCAGGTATGCTGACCACCAGTGCTCACTGAGTGAACTGGATAGTGGCTGTACAGAGTGGGCCTCAGAGCCTTGCTGGGGGAGAGTATGTTTGTCACAGGGAACCCACTAGGCTGCAATTTTTATCTGCAGTCTTAAGTCAACTCTCCATGTCTTTCCTCTCCCTTGGGGCTGCCACAAACTGGCATCAACAAGGAGGTAGGGCAGTGGTGCGGGGAGGACACCCCTGGGGACAGAGGGGCCCGGCTGAATCAGATCAGCAAGAGTTGCAGGTGGAGGGAGTAAGATTCGAGCTCTGGGGTGTGGCTGGGGTCAGGGTCATGGCCTCTGTCCCCAGCAACTCAGGGTCCGCATTAGTGACTGGAATCCTGGGCAGAGAGGCCGAGCCACGGAGGCCACTGAGGTCCCCTAGAGGCCGCTTAGGCCATAGCCCAGCCCATACCACCAGTATAGGAAAGGGAGGGGGCGTGGCCGCCCACTTCCTCGGACCTCCCACTTTGGGCCAGTGGACCCCGGCCATTTGCGTCCCTCGCTACTAAAGAACTTGGCCTGAACGAGGATCCCTGCCCAACGTCGGGGAGCGATGTCCTCCACCCGCGAGTACAGGCAGGGCAAGGATGCCCTGCCTCTCCTAAATACCCCGACCCCAGCCCTTTAAGACTCCGTGGGCTCCAGTTCCCAATCCTGCTATTCTCGCCCTCTCCAGCCCTAGTGAGGCGAGCATAAGTGACTCCCAAATGCGGCGCAAAAAGCGGAACGGACACAGGCTCGTTCGACCTGGAGATGTGGGATGCCCCCCTCACCCAGTGCCTAAGCCGGGGAGGCCCCAGAGGCCTCCGGGAGTGGCGGTGGGGAGTACCAAGAAGGCGGGCAAGGGAACGCAGATGCGCGCAGTCAAGCAGGGAAGGCCCAGGAGGAGCAGAGGGGAAAGGGTCGCGCACGTGGCCGGGGGGCGGGGCGGCCGTCTCCGTACCCCCACCCAGCCACGTGGGGTGTGGAGCACTCCTCCATCGCGAGCGGGGGCGCGCCAAGGCCCGGGTGGAAGCGTTCGGGGAAGGGGCGGGCTCCCGCCGGCCGCGCGCCGCGGGATGGGCGCGCCCGTGAGGGGGCGGGGAGCGCGCCGAGAGAGGGGGGGCGCCGGGAGGACGTGGGGGCCGTCGGGGGAGGGAGAGGCGTGCCAGGAGGGGCGGGACACGCTCCGGGGGGCGGAGGGTTTTACGGCGGAGGGGCGCTCTGAGGAGAGGACTCGGGGCAATGTGACTAGGGAAGAGACACGCCAGGAGGGTCAGGCTCCAGGCCTGGCGCCCCGCGTGGGTAACCAGAGCTCAGGGCAGGAAGCCGAGCGCGCTTCGGGGCAGGAGTAGGCGCGCCCGGGAGGCGTATCCTTGGGCCCGGACCCCGCCTCCAGCGGTAGCGCGCGACTGGCAAAGCAGTGGAGGGCGCTCCGGGCTAGGGGCGTGGCCGCGGCGCCCCGAGGGGGCGTCCTCCGGGCGGGGCGGGACGTGGCCGCCTCCGCGGGCTCCGGTGCGTCAGGGCGCGTCAGGCGGGGCGGGACGAGCGCAGGCGGCGGCGGCGGCGGCGCGCGCTCGCCTCCTCCTCCTCCTCCCGCACTCCAGCAGCCGCCGCCGGCCGGACGGGCGCTGCTCCCGCCGACTCTTCTTGGTTTGCGTTGCGCGCCCTTTTCCGGCATGTCCGCGGCGGTAGCGTGCGTGGATTACTTCGCAGCCGACGTGCTCATGGCCATCTCCTCTGGCGCCGTGGTGCACCGAGGACGGCCGGGCCCCGAAGGCGCGGGCCCCGCCACCGGCCTGGATGTGCGCGCTCCACGCCGCGAGGCCGCCCCGCCCGGGCCCCCAGGGCCGCAGCCGCCGCCCCCCCGGGCTACCCCCGGCCAGGGTCCAGGAGCCACCGCCGCGCCCCACCTGCTAGCTGCCAGCATCCTGGCCGACCTGCGTGGCGGGCCCGCTACAGCCCCGGGGGTCGCCTCTTCCACCTCCTCCTCGGCCGCCTCGTCCCCGTCCTCGGGCCGCGCCCCCGGTGCCGCGCCCGCCGCCTCCAAGAGCCACCGCTGTCCTTTCCCGGGCTGCGCCAAAGCGTACTACAAATCCTCTCACCTCAAATCGCACCTGCGAACGCACACAGGTGAGTCTGGGCCCTTGGGGGGGGCCTCTCGCGCCCCCGCCCCCGCCGGGACCCCGAAACTGCGTGGCGCGTCGGGGGCGGGGAGGGGGGCGCGCCCGAGCCGTCGCCGCGCCTGCCGGGGAAGGGCGGGGCCTTGGTGGGTGGGGCGCGTGCAGGGGGCGTGGTGGCCACGCGGTCTGGCGGTGTGCGGATGGCGGGCGCAGAGGCAGCGGCTGGGGCTTACTGGGCGTGCGGCCCCGCTGAATTGGGAAGTCGCTCGGGTCTCCCAGGCAGCCCCCTTCCCCGGTGGCTTCTTTCTGTTATTTTCTGTTGCGTTCTGTTCTGGGTGGTGTGCACCGGGATTGAAAAACCCAGCTGTGAGATTCTCATTGCTTCCCTTCCCGTGCCTCAGTTTGTTAGCGGTAGAGAGGGAGGAGGAACCGCGTCGGCGTCTCCGGGATGGTCGCGTGGATTCTCCCCAGAGGGCGGCCTGCTACTCGGCCAGGGTTGGGGGCAGTTGATAAAGTGGAGAGCGGGGCTGGGAGCGAGTGAGGGTTGGGGCGTGAGTCTGAGAAGGAGTAAGAGGGGTACACCCAGAGGGAATCAGGTATTTTCCTGTTTCTAGCGTGTTGGTGCCCCCCCCCCCCCGTGCTGCAGAACTCGGAAGGGGAACAGGGTGGAGAAGTAGGGTTTGGGGACAGTGACCTCTCACAGACCGGTGGGGTCGTACAGGGCAGCTATTGGAGGCTGGAGGAATGGGGCTGCTAGTCACTTTCACTCCATCTTCTTCGCCCCCACTGGCGTGTCCCCCCACCTCTACTGCCCATAGGCTCTTACGCTCTGAATGCCGGTCTTGCTGCGGGATGGGGTTGGGGCTCTTGGTGCTATGGGCTGGGGGATGGGGTTGGGGGTCTTGGCTCTGTGGACATGCTCTCATTGTGGAAACACATAGACAGGGTTCAGGAAAGCAGGTTAGTCCCAGTGGTATGTCTGCAACACACAGCGGGCAGCCCCAGGCCAGTGGCCAGGCTCGAGGGCCACACGGGTGATGGCAGCCCCCCCTTCCTACCTCTCCTTCAGCCCTTGTCTCTTGTCCTCAAGGGATGGAGTCTCTAACCACCTGTGCATGTGCAGGCCAGAACTTGGGGCAGGGTCTACATTTTCTTATAAGGAGCCACCATCTTTCTGTTTGGTCACCGGATAGTATTTAATCTTCAAGACAGTGGAGCCCTTGTGTTGGGAGGCTGGGCAGTGAGTTGATGTCTAGTTCAGTGGCTCATTTGGGGTGAGTTTGCCTGTCTCAACAGAGTGGTGGGGAGGGCTGAAGTGGGAGATGTGACAGAAGAGACAGAGGGACTCATCCGGCCTCATATTGATCAGTGTGCCCTTCTGCCTATCCCCCCTCCCACCTGAGGTATGTGCTCTCTGAGAGCCTTTTGGACACCCTCCCCCCCAGCCAGCTCCCCCGCAGTGCCCTGACATGATTTGGGTTTTTTCCCCAGATTCTGTTAGACTTTTGGATGGGGTGAAGCAGATTGCCAGGCTACCTTCCACCCTAGCTCCCAAGGGACACTTCTTCGAGGTGCCCTGGAAGCCTTCAAAACCTCTGTAGGCCCTTGGACAGTGACAGCCATCCCCCTAAGTCTGTGGGGGAGGAAGGACTGCTGGGGCCAGTATGTCAGTATTGACTTCCCCATTTTTTAATAAAGATTTTATTTCTTTATTTTCAGAGAGAGGGGAAGAGGGGAGAAAGTAAGGGAGAGAAACATCAATGAGTGAGAGAAACATTGATTGTCTGCCTCTCACATGCCCCCACCTGGGGTCTTGGCCTGCAACCCAGGCATGTGCCCTGACCAGGTATCAAACCAGCCACCTTTTGGTTCCCAGGCTGGTGCTCAGTCCACTTAGCCACACCAGCCAGGGCACTGTCCCCATTTTTAATGAGATGCTGAGGCCCAATAGGCTGACTCGGGGTGTGGCAGGGACGAGTGCAGATGGTGGGGAGGGCATGGTGCCACCTGTGCTGGGTCCTGTGTCCTGTGGGAGCTGTGGCTCTGGATGTCTTGTCTTGGAGCTTCCTTTATAACCATAGTGCAAGGCACCTAGTGGGGCGCAGCTCCTGGATGCACTTGGCAGGCAGCCTTGGTTCTGTTTCCCAAGGCTTTGGACCCTTGTGTGGCGTAATGACTGTTCAGTGTCTCCCTATTCCCAGCACCTCCAAACCCTGCTTGGAGTCTGTGTGAAGACCTTTTGGTTTTGGGGGCTCCTGGAGGAGGGGGTAGCTGCTGTTAAGCTCGTTTTGGAGTTGGGGAGTCCATGCTCATCTTGGGTGTCCCAAGGCTAGGGACAGCATAATTAGAAGTAGTTGTCTGCTGAGCTATCTGTCCCGTCTCCGCCGGCCCCCCCCCCCCCCCCGCCTGTTCTCTCTGTAAATGCAATGCCAGTTGTAGTCTAGCCCTATTGTACAGATGAGCAGGATGAGGCGCTGTACTGAGCTTGATGTCCCCATTATCCCTGCTTCATATGGTGTGGGGTGAGGAGACCAGGAGGGTCCCTGGGATCTTTTCACGAGGCTACCCAACTGCACAGGGTGTCAGAAGGGCTGTTCTATTGCCTTCTGTGCCCTGCCTGCAGTCCCTGGCCCTGTGCAGAGCTCTTCTGCGTGGGGTGGGCAAGGACTTTGGAAGCTGTGGAGATGTTGACGCCGTTGCCGTGGATACGCAGGGAGATGGGGCGGGGGCGGGAGGAGAGGCTGGCTGTCTACTTGTTCTCCCAGCCTCCCTCATCTCCCATGGCTCCCCTGCCTGCGCCCCCAGTGCCAGGCATGCACGCAGTCAGTCATGTGCGCCTTGACGGGAGGAGGGGAGCAGTGGGGGGGGTAGTTCCCTGAACCCCCAACTCACTCTGTGCTGGGACCTCTCCCCAGTTACGACAGCCGTAGATGTCCTCAGGCATCTTCTAGTGTCCCATAGGGTGTTGCAGGATCACTTCCAGTTGAGACCTCATTTCACTCTAAAACCCTGTCTACTTAAGTCTGAGAAATAGTAGCTGAGCACCTACTGTGAGCAAGGCAACCTGGGGATCCCAGTTCTGTCCCCTGGGATCACAGAACTCTGAGTTGATAGAGAAAAAGGGCTTCCTGGAAGAAGAGGGCTCAGAGACTTGAAGCCCAGGGGTTGGGAGGGGCAGGGAGGGGTGTATCCCAGGGGAGGGGCAGCACCCTGGCTGCAGGGGGTGGGGGCAGGGGCCCTAGGGTGTGGATTTTGAGGATGTGGTGCAGAACAGCCTAAGGGCTCCATTTAATCCCAAGGGCAGAGTAGGGGGAAGGTAGGGAGCCCTGGGCTTTGCAGGGGAAAATCCGTTTATGGAGAAGGGATTAGAGGTTGGAGAGGCTAGCCACTGTGTGGGAGGGAAAGGGCGGGCCGATACAGAAATGGGTGGGAAGGGGAAGCCTTAGGACTTGGGGCAAGAAGAGGCTAGGGTGACCCTCAGTTTCCTGATCCAACAGCCTGAGGAGTGCAGGGTGGTGGTGATGATTATAGTTTGCTGAAGAGCCCCCAGGAGGAAGGGCAGCAGCCACACTCCCCAGACAGAGCAGGGAGCTCCCTTAAGGTTAGGTGGGGCTCAGGAGATTGGGAGATTGGTGGTTTATCTGGGAGTGGGGCGGGGGACATTGCTAGGCCCAGGAACTTCCTTCCCACCTAGCTCTCTCCTCCATTGGGCAGAGGTGCAGAGAGCAGCTGGAACTGGCTGCAGGTCCCTGTGTCCCAGCCAGGGGGTGAGAGAGGGGTGGGTCCCACGACATTGCAGGGGATGATAACCACTCACCACCCAGGCTCCCTGATAAAGGTGCCCAGATGGCCCGGCAATGGGCAAATGATATGGGGGGGGGGCGGGAATGAGCTGGCTTCTGAGGGAGGGAGGGGGCTTAGGTGGCCGCCTTCCCCCAGTGGTGTTTCCAGAACATCAGGTCCCTGGAACACATGCCCTGGGGGGCCTGTGGGAGTGTGTCCCCTCACCTCAGGCACCAAGAGCCCCCCTCCACGCCATAGATGCCATTCTGGGTAAGAAATGATCTGAGGCAGGAGGGAAGAGGAACAAGGGAGGGACTGCAGAAAGCCATCCTTTCAAACAAATGGGTGGAGTCAAAGCTCCTAGCTGGGGGGTTGGGTGAGTGAGATGAGGGGCAAACCTGTTAGCCACTGTCCGACCTGAGCCTAGCCACAAGCTGGAGCTTGAGTTTTCTGGCCTGTAGACTCCTTCCAGAGATGTGTTCCATTTGCCAGTTTGAGGTTGGGGGGCAATATCACACTCAGGAGATACAGAGCACAAAGATAGAGAAGCTGTGAAAGGGACAGTGGGGTGTGGGGGCACCAGTAGGGAGAGACCACTCTGAGGGTTGGTGCTGAGCCTGCACAGCACCATGTTGGCTCCTGGCTTTCCCAGTTCTCCCTGGCTCAGCCTGTCATGGTCAAGTCCACCCACCAAATGTTCTCCAGCGCCCTTTCTGGCCAGGTGGCCACACCTGGGACCCCCACTGGCCCTGTGCTTCTGAATATTTCGCCTTTCTCTGCCAGTGGACTATGAGAGGGTGACAGGGCCTGGCATCTTGCAGGTATTTGGCCATTGCTTTGGGGGCTGGAAGCCTCCCGGACCCTGTGGGAGCCGGACAACATGAGCAGGGCTGGCTGGGACTGCGGGTGTCCCCACACCAATGAGCTAGCCAATGAGCTACATGCGGCAGCTGTGTTCCCAGTGACTGTGTGTGTCCTGCCTTAGCAGGCACTGTCACAGCTCGTGCAACCTGCTTGTTGCAAAGTGAAACTGGGGGGCAGAGGGGGGAAGGTAGGGACCAGCCCCACCACCCTGAATGGGGAAGTGAGCCAACTACCGGCTGCAAAAGCAGTGGGATGCTCCCTCCCCCTTCTGCTCTCCTGCCTATGCCTGGCAAGATGGCGACACAACTGCGTGTCCCTTGGAGGGGTGTCACTGCCCCAGTAACTGGAGTCCCCTTCCCCACAGGTTGGGACCCCTTCTGGGACTCTTTCAAGCCCCTGATTCTGGACAGGATGTCCCTGCTGCAGCCCCTCCCCCAGCTGCTGC